GAAACAGCTCTAAGGGTCTGAAGGTAAAGAAAATGTTCTTAGGTTTAAAAGAGGTTTTAACAACTTTTACAACTTGACATGCTCCACAAAGAGAATCTGAGTGATGATTAAGGTCTGGAAAACCATCAATAAGTCTTAACTTGCTAAGCTTAGAAATTAATCTCCAGTAAGCATGACCTAACCTTATGTGCTAGAGCCATTTTTCATCACTCCCTGATAGAAGGAAAAACACATTCTGATCAACCAACTCAAAAAACTTATTTTATAAAAATTGCCCTTCCTCATACCTTTGAGCACTATGGATTTGTCATAATCATTAACAACTATACAAATATTCTTATTAAACGCTAGTTCATAACCGCTGCACAAAGTTGACTTATACTCAATATGTTATGTTTTAGTCCATCTACAAGCCAAACGTTATTGATAGGGATAAAGGAGTTACCAATAGTACCCATGCCAATGATCTTGTCTTTCCGATTTCCTTTGTAACACCCCGTCTTTAATTTAGATTATTTTTTAATTACAAAATTATATGAATGCAGTGTTTTTGTGTGTTTGTATGAATAATGAGATGTGTTATTGTGCTTTGACGAGAGGTTACTACCTTAGATATTATAAAAATTAAGGCATGGGGGTGTAGTGAGAAGACCAGTGTATATTTTATTATTATTATTATTATTAGTAGTAGTAAAATAATAGGATAATTATTATATTATATTAAATAATTATTTAATTAGGGAAGGGAAAAGTTGGAATAATAATTTAGTGTTCCAAGGGGTCATTGTTGGAATAAAATAAGATTGAGAAGAGAAAAGAGAGTCAGAATGTAGAAACAGAGTCAGAACGATCGTAGAAGAGAGAGGAGAAAGAGCACTAAGAAGCTAGAGCAAGAGATTTTATTGTAGGGATTAAGAATCGTCAATCCAAAGTAAGGATGGGGATATAACTCTATAAGTGGCTGCATAAAGATGGGGAATGATAGTGATTAGGTTCTATGATTGTATGTTCTTGAGTTCTCATTACCTTGTTTTATGGGGTTTCACACTTTGATGAATTGTTGATGCATTTTGGATGAACTTGGTAAAATTGTTGATGTGAAATATGTTGGAATGATGAGTAATGTGTGTGTATATTTTGTGGAACCAAATGACATTGTTTTGATTAAAAAATTGGATTTTTGGGGTTGAAAAGAGGAATTCCCGTAGCAGAATAAATTGTAGAGTTTTTCACTATCAGACTGAGGAAATCGGTTTCCTGAGTGAATTTTTGAGAAAATTGCTACCGGACATGATGGAAACTGGTTTCCTGAATGAAATTTTGGAAAATAACTACTGGATGTGAAGGAAACCAGTTTCCTGTTTTGGGGAAACCGATTTCCTGAACGAATTTTTGAAAAATCCTGAAACATGTAAATTCTATAACTTTTGACTCGGACGTCCGTTTGACGCGCCGTTTAGACCAATAGGAAGCTGAAACTATTTTCTATCTTATAAAAATAAATTGAATAAAAATAGGTGATCATTTGATAGAAATTGATACCCGTCAGTGTGTATTTCGGGTAAATTGCGATAACAAAAGTTGTGTGTAAGTACGCAGATGATTGTGTGAATTTATACCGTTGTTTTGCATAGTATGTTGCATAATGATGATGATGTTGTTGTTGGCGTGGCCTGGGGTAATGTTGAAGGATTATGCTCTATTATTGCATAATTATATTGTTGCATGTCAGTGTCACATGCATTCTTGGTGAGGGCTTATACCCTGTTGATGGCCTGTATTAGCGAGATGGTGAGGGCTTATGCCATATTGCTGTCCTATTCGGCATTATGATGAGGGATTATATCTTGTTGGTTGGTACCACATGCATTGAGTCTGTGATTCGGTCGCATTGCATTGCATTATTAATTAACTCGATGCTATTTGAGGTGGAAGATGCATGTATTTGTTTCCAGTGATTTCTGGTAAACAACCGCTAGTCTTCCAAACTATCGAATAAACTTTCTGACTGTTATTCAATTCCTCTAGTAACTCACAGGATCGACTAGATTGATCCTAGGATTCCTTGGCCATTAGGGTAACTCTCATGATCGAACAAATATTCATGGCTGGTATTTGAGTGTTGTATAGGTGTTTGATTTATTTTGATTTCTCTCTTAAAAGTCTAAAGGTGCAATCAAAATGTATGTGCGCGAAACTAACTTGCATGAATAAATGTTAATTGTAAAGACATGTAAAATTGCATAAAAGGCAAGTAAAAGGCTTCGAATTATAAAAACAGTTAATGTAAAAGATGTTCTGGAACGTAAAAGATTTGAAATATGAGGAAAGCGTTTAATGCAAGAAATCTGTAAATGACTCTAAGTAAAAATAAGCGTTCGAAGGGTAAAACTTGAAGATAAAGGCATGAAAAGTATGACAGTTTTCTGAAATGAAAAATGCTTGAAATGTAAAGAAAGCATTGAAATGTAAAACTTTAATGAAGAGATTTCGAAGTGAAAAGACTTTAAATGAGAAAACTTATAAATGTTATTTGACAGAAAGATAAAGGAAAGTGCTGGGAATGATAAAAGGTTTTCATTAAATCATAAATATGTGGTGCTATCATACATACATTGCTCTTGCATTCGTTTCCCTTGCCATGTGGTAGTTTGAATGTTACTGAGTATTTAGTACAATAGATATGACACACGAAATCCTAATACTAAGACTTCTATTTATACTAATTCGACCATAACGGTCTTGCTATAGGATTATGCCACATTCAGAACATGCAGAACAATGCCTCTCTCTTCTTTCCACGTGTCTCCAAATGCTCCAGCACATAAATTTCAAACTTCGAATGTCCCGCTTCCATTTGAATTTCAAATGCTTTGGTACTTCTCCGTTTCGAACGCACTTCCCAGACACAGCCTTGTTGATATTTCGAGACTTTTTAGATATGTTCTTATAATTTCCACTCGAAGCTTCAAGCTTTGATATGCTTATTCGAAACACTGCTTCTGCTACTTCGAAACATGACGCTTTTGCTTCATTTCGATCGAAACGTTTAATTCACTTGGCTTCTAATAATATTATCAAAATCTTCAGCCAACAGTATTATATCATGATGGATATTATGTGTTGTTTGTATTATTAATTGTATGTTGATGCACCTTGTGATTGCTATGAATGAAGTAAAGGTGTGAGGTAAAGAAGTGTGATTATGCGTACTTGAATTGCTATCTGCTCATTATTATGCTTTCTTTTATATTGTTATGATATCTCACCCCTTTTGTTTGAATATTACCTTTATGTTGGTAACATGTAGATGATCTGAAGTAGCTCGAGGTTAAATGAGGAGTTTGCCTCACATTGCGTAGATTGAGTCTGTGTCAGCTATGATACATAACACTTGGGGAAAATTATGCTTGTTTTATTTGTGTCGGGAGTAAACTATTGTAAAACTCCATTGGGATGATTTAATTGATGTTTTATGTTGGATTTTGAAAGATGATATTTATCACTCATGTTGAAGAGTTGAGAATAATTGTTATTGATGTTTTTCGTTGCGAATAAATGTAATGAAGTTTAAAACATGATGAATAAGTGTTTATGTGTTGTGTATCTTATTATATGAACATGTGTGATGTGTGAAGGTGACATCCTAATTGATGAAAATTGTTTTAATTTCTCTGATTTATTTAATTATCGTCTTGGGGAAATTAGGGTGTTGGATTAGTGGTATCAAAGCAGATCGGTCTATTCGACTAAGTTATCGAGTCAGTAGTGTAGTGTGACAGTTGAATATTTTCGGTATGTTTCTTCTAACCATTGTTTGTTGTGATGGTGTGAAACATAGAAATGGATGAGAGAAATGATGTTGCGATTACTGCTGCTTTGCAGGTTGTGGCTCAGGCTGTACAACAACAGTCTAATGCTGGTAAAAATGATGGATCCCGAGTTTTGAAGACATTTCAGAGGAACAAGCCTCCTGTCTTCAAGGGTACGTACGACTCTGATGGAGCGCATACTTGGCTCCCAGAAATCGAAAGGATCTTTCGAGTGATGGACGATACAAAATTACAGAAGGTACGCTTTGGTACACACCAGTTGGTAGGAAAGGCCGATGACTGGTGGGTGAGTACTCGCCAGAAGCTGAATGGTGAAGATGAAGATATCACATGGGTTGTGTTCAATAGAGAGTTTTTGAGAAAATACTTTCTAGAAGATGTCTTGCACCTATGAGTAGTATTTGTTCTTTGCCATTTAGTTGAATTTGATTCATTAGGCTCCCTTCTTCAAAGCTTTTTTGGCCTCTTTGGACCTCTTTTGAGCACAGAAGGGAAAATGACAGGATCATTGATTTTGGGTCACTTATTTTGGCCATTCAAAAGAGTGATACCTTCATCATAATAATTGGCATAAGTTGACTTGTGATAGCACTTATAGACATAATTAACGGGATCATCTACTTTCCTATGAATTGCAGAAACTGCATGTCTACATGAAATTCTAACGAGATCCCAAAAGTTATATGAACATGTTTGATTCTCCATAAATGTTGCATCTTCATTAGTTAGTTTGAACTCTATGTATATTTGAACCCCACCTTTGTAGGTTTGAACAAAGGCAGTTAACTCAAATGCATTACCATCATCTTTAAATGGTTTTAGACCAGTTCCTAAATGGAAGCATTCGTTTAAAGAAGAAAGAAGTATAGAATGAACCTTCTATTCAGGACTAACACTTGAACAAGACAACGTTGAGCACGATTAAGGTTTTTAGCAAGAACGAAATTCCCTTTGATGAAATAAATTTCTAATTTTACTCTAAGTGAATATATCAGTGTTTTAAGTTGTCTAATTAATAATGAATACGTGACATCTAATTATTCAACATTACATATTTTCAAAATTAAAAAAGAATTCAGATCAACATCCACATAAGTTTCCGTTAAAGGAAATAGACGGAAGAATCGAAAAATAGAGACGGAAAACTTTACGAAGAAGAAAACGAAAATGTTTAGATATTTAAAGGGAAGAAAAACATTAACTTTAAATAATTTAAAAGTTTACGTATGCGTTCCGACGTCTAAACCAAATCTGTTAGAACCCTTCTCAGTAATCTCTTTCATCAGCACCACCATCTCTGTCTCTTGTTTTTATTTTCATCTCTGCCTTCAAAACGAAGTTTCCTTTCTTCTCTCTTCCTCATCCAAATCAATCCCCTGCACTCACGCCCACAATACCATCTTTACCCCCACTCCAAAACAAAAACCAAAAACCAATCAAACTAAAATCACATCACCCCAAAAACACACCTTCTTTTTCATCTTCTCTATATTTTTTACATTAACTATTCAATTTCATTGCGCCACTGGTTTTAATTTTCCGAATTGGGAAACAAAAATTAAAATCGAGAATTTCTCAATCCAAAATTCTTGAGAGACTGGTTGGTACGTTTCTTTTTCATTCACCTAACAATTACATTCGATTACTTCCAAATTCATATTCATCACAATTTCGTGATTCGCTTCAGTTTTTAGGGTTTATCAAATATTGCATGCTGTTCAATTAAATGGCTGGCGCCGGCGACGTAGATGCCGATGCGGTGCTCAGCGACGTCGAGGACGACGGTGGTGATCCGATTCCGATTACTAATAATTCTAAATCCTCGGATGACGTGTCCGTTGAAAAACTCCGAGAGATTCTCGCCGAGCTTGATCGGGAAAAGCAGGGACGGCTTGCTGCGGAGAAAGCCAAGTCGGAGTTGCAGACTTCTTTCAACCGATTGAAGGTGCTGGCTCAAGAGGCTATACGGAAACGGGATGAGTTTGGCCGGCTTCGGGATGAGGCTGTTCGAGAGAAGGAAGAGACGGCAAAGCAGCTGGAAGAGGCAGCGATGGAGCGGCAATCGATGCGATCGGAGATTGAGAAGTCGAGTCATATGATGGTTACTGGAATTGAGAAGATTTCCGCGAAAGTGAACGGTTTCGGTGGAAGTGGAAGTGCGTTACCGCGGTCGCAGAAATATACTGGCATGGCTGCTGTGACTTATGGTGTTATAAAGAGGGCGAATGAGATTGTTGAAGAGTTGTTGAAACAGAATGATGCAAGTGTTAAGTCTAGGGATCAAGCTAGGGAACAGGTGGAGCAGAGGAATTATGAGATTGCTATTGAGGTTTCTCAGTTGGAAGCAACCATTAGTGACTTGAGGGATGAGGTCTCAAAGAAAACCTCTATTGTTGAGGGTTTGGAGAGGGATTTGGCTGATAGGGATGAGAAGTTGGATGAGGTTTCTGAGAGTTTAAGGAAGGAAGAGAGTGAGGGTTTGCAGATGAAGGAGTTTGTTAGTGAGTGTGAGGAGAAGTTGAGCAAGTTGGAATCCAGTATGGAATCGTTGAGGCCTTTGTTGATTGATCAGTTGAGCTTTGTGTCCAAGATTCACAACCAGATTTGCAGTGTTTTTAAGATCATTGATGATGCCGGTTATTCGGAACTGTCTGAATCTTTGTTTGTACCGCAAGAAACAGAGATTGGAGAGAATATACGTGCCTCTTTAGCTGGAATGGAATCCATACATGAGTTGACTAGGGTTGTTGTTCAAAAAGTTAGGGATGTGGTTGAGGAGAAGAATAGTGAGATCAAGAGTTTAGATGAGACTGTGAATAGGTTAGTTAAGGAAAAGGATCAAATTGGTTCTTTGCTTAAGAGTGCTTTGTCAAAGAGGATGACATCTGATCCGTCTTCTAAGAAAAGTGAGCTGTTTTTAGCCGCAGAAAATGGGTTGAGGGAAGCTGGGATAGATTTCAAATTTAGTAAGCTTCTTGGAGGTGGAAAGCTTGCAGCATCAAATGACAGGTCAAACCAAGCGGAAAAAGAAGAAGAGGATGAAATATACTCTTTGGTAAAAAAATTATTTCTCTTTTTGGTTATCAATAGAATTTGTTGTTCTCGTCTAAAGTTTGTGTCTTGAAGATACCTTGTTGAGTTTCTTATGCATCCATTGTGCAGGCTGGTGCTCTGGAGGATGTTGTTAAGGCATCTCAGCTTGAGATCATTGAGCTGCAGCATACTGTAAATGAATTAAGGTACTTGACATTTGAATCAAATGCACAGTTGTTTGCTATGTGTCTAGCTTTGGAGATAAATGAAAGCATTGTACTCATTCTTCACTGAAGAACTTACATATTAGCAGTATCGAGATATGCTGAGTGCTGACGTCATAATTTTTTTCTTTACATATTGCTTAACTACATTAAGGGCAGAGTTAAGTTTACTTAAGCAGCACATTGAAGCCCAGGCCAAAGAACTTGACCATAGAATGCACCGGGTAGAGGAACTTGAAGAGAAGGAAAGAGTGGCAAATGAAAATGTAAGTGTAATCATGTTTGCTAGTTTAATTTGATATAGCTCCTTAACTGAATGTTTTATCCACTTTTATATTTTTTTAGAGTATAGGTTTTGTTGTGTAGTTCTAGGCTGTGGGTAATCTGTGAGAGTCATTTGAATCTTTGATTTTAATACTTTTCCATATCTAAGAATCAATTGGACTCATTATAATGCAGATTGAGGGGCTAATGATGGACATTGCGGCTGCTGAAGAAGAAATTAACAGATGGAAAGTGGCAGCAGAGCAAGAAGCTGCTGCAGGCACAGGTGTTGAACAAGAATTTGTGGCACAGGTATGGAATGCTATCTGTTGGCAATAGTTCTTTTTGGCATGTTTGTGATACTTGGATGGTGTAACTGAATAGTTTTTAATTCACAGCCGATTGCATTTTTATTTTCTCTATTTTATTTTAATCTTTTTTCAATAATGCTCATGTATTCTTATATTTAATGGACAATTTCTTTATTGCTAATTTGTTATGTAGTTTAGCTTTAGTTGTGCAATAGTTAATTGAATAACAACACCAACCAAGCTTTATTCCGTTAAGTGGGGTTGACTACATGGATTAACTTTCGCTATAATGTTCTGTCCAAGACTATTCTTCTATCCAAATCGTTAATCTAGAGATCTTTTTTAATAACTTCTCTTATAGTCTTTCTAAGTCTTCCTTTTCCTCTAGTTGTTTGACTTCTTTTCATCTGATATACTCTCCTTACCATAGAATCTACAACTCTTCTCTTTACATGTTCAAACCACCTAAGTCTATTTTCCACCATCTTCTCTACTATAGGTGCTGCCCCAACACTCTTCCTAATATTTTCATTTATAATCCTATCATGTCTACTCTTATTGCGCATCCAACACGACATCCTCATCTCTGCTACACTTACCTTATTCTCGTGTTGATTCTTAACCGCCCAACATTTTGTCTCGTACAACATCCCAGGTCGTACTGCAGCCCGATAAAATTTTCCCTTCAACTTGAGCGGTACCTTTGCGTTACATAAAACCTCCGAAGCCCTCCTCCATTTCAGCCACCCATTTTGAATTTGATGGTTTACATCCCTTTCTATTTCTCCATCATTTTGTATTACGGGCCCAAGACCCAGTGACTTCAGGGATGATATGATCTCCAACTTTCACCTCCATGTTAGATACGCTTCTTCTTTTATTGAACTTACATTCCATATATTCCGTCTTACTTCTGTTTAGGCAAAAACCATGTGTTTCAAAAGTTTGTCTCCAACCTCATTTAAATCCTCCTTTGACTTCAAATAGGACTATATCATCTGCAAAAAGCATGTATTTCGGTGCTAGCTCTTGGATGTGTTTCGTGAGTACATCCAAAATTAAGATAAAAAGGTAGGGGTTTGGGGTTGAACGTTGATGCAAACCTGAGAAATCGTTTGTGTCTCCGCCCTGTGTCCGCAATGGTAAATTGAAAGAATTATAATTTTTTTTTTTGTTATTTTACTATTTAAGCTGGTGGCTAGTGATTCCATGTTTCTTTCAATTCTATCACTAGAGTTCATACATTTAATATCTTACCCTTTCCCTTTAGGTCTATGGTTTTCCGGAACTTATTTTGTTGCTATAAATCAAAGCAGTTAATAGGACCATATACATATAATTCAGCGTAGTGTTGTGTCCTGCTGCCGGAGTGCTGGATCATACCAAACATTACATTCATGTGGAGCAGCAATAGAAATTGCAGGCAAATAGTGGTAAAGTCACTTTTGTAGTGGCTGCCTTGGTTTAAAAACCATTAAATTTTGAATATGTGGGTTTGGGCCCCTTTTTATTTGAGCTACCCTGCAGTTGTTTTTTCACAATTCTTGTCCACTCCCCCAATCAGAAGGAAATATAGATCTCCAAATTGTTCTTTCTTTGAAATTGGGAGTGTGTCAAACTAGGTTGATGTGCCATTCCTTTGCACCACACATCTCCAGCAGGAGACAAATACATTTTCAAGCAAAGCCCTTACTATTCAAGGTGCCAACACGTTTCCAGACAGCCCCTATACATTGTGGCAGCCTCTTAACCTCTGCTGAGTCTTTCCTTCCAGACTCAGTTCATAGTTCATACTCAAAGGTTTCTTTTTCCTTTGCTGCCGCTTCCGTAACTTCACCCTGTGTTTCTTTCCAATGTCAGACACCCTCTTTTTATCGCCTGTTCTTCTTTTTCTTCTGATGATTGTAGATTCTTGTTGGAAGTGTAAATCAGCTGAATTGTTCATGAATTATTCAAGTAGCGTTTGTTAAGTGCTTGAAATCAGACTTGATTATTTAAACGAATCGAGCTCAAGCATTGCAGGCTTGCTGTTGATAGCTCATCCACCTGGAAAGTTGCAATTTTGTTTTTTACATTTATGGAGAGTCATAGTTTATATTCATTACTTACCTAACTAAAAGTTTTCAAGAGTCATAAATATATAAATAAATAAGGACAAAAAGTCAAGCCATAAACATTAAACAATTTAAATGAACCAAGCTCAAGCTTCAAATTTTTAATCAAGTCTAACCGAGTGCTTAAATGTGGCTTGCTTGAATAAATGAGTTGAAGTTTGGGCAACATTTATCTTTAGCTAGTCAAGTCTAAACTTAAAGCATTCTGCGTGGCTCAACTCATTTACCCTCCTTATTCTAGCTCCTCTTTGATGCAACCATGTCATCAATGGATCGCATATTTCGCATTGTTAATTACCCTTGAGAATGATGGTGGTTGTTGGTCTATACTCTAGACTGTGACTTTAATTGTTGATGATATGCTATGTCATTAATTTTGGGTTTTTTTTTTTGAAGCATTCATTTGTATACAGTCTAGGTCACCCTCCTGCCATATCTTTTTTGGGGTTGCCTGGCATGTGCTGCTTGGGGATTAACTAATTAGGCTGTAAATACAGTAGATTGTTTTAAGATGAGATTACAAAAAGTTACATGTTAGATGGATATTTTCACTCTTCCTTCTATTGTCAATTAACATTAATTTTCCTAATCATAAATGCTGGTTGCTATTCTGCAGCTGTCAACCCTTAAGCAGGAACTTGAAGAGG